ATAATCGTGATCGTTCGAAGATAACGATGACGGTCGTCGTCGTCGTCGTCGTCGTCGTTGTAGCAAAGTGATTTCAAGCTTGGAAAGTAACATTACTCGTTGGCAAATGCTACGATATTAACTTGAACCCGTACATTATGCATCCACGATAAAACAGAATTATAGAAATAATCTATTGAGAAAGTTTCGATTCTCTAGCTTTGGACAAAAAATAAATAAATATCAAATATTCGTTGAAAAATATTGTAGAAATATTCTTATCAATGTAAATTTTTATATATATAAAAAAAAAAAAACAGATGTGTGCAGATCACACACGGTAGAAGTGAAACTTTCAAAGAAAATCAAGCTTCGAAATAATTGAATTGTAATACAGTGCCATTTATTGAAAGAACCTTACAGAACCTAGATAATCTCTAAATAAAAATCTTTAAATTAGTAATAAATTTCAATTAGTAGTGGACAAACATATTGTTACACGGAATTTTTATATATAGAATTTTATTAATTAATTAATTAATATATAGAATTAAATAATATAGAATTAAATTATATATTGAACTTTATAAATTAATTAATTATTTTTGTTGCATCGATTTTACGTCCTTCCGTTTCACGATTATCAAATCACCCTGATTCTAAAGAAATGTTCACTTTAAAAATCAATCGCAACAATTTGAATAATTTTTCATAAAATTAAGAAAAAGTTCTTGCGAAAAATAGCAGCAACTAACTTGCAACTTTCTTCTTGTTCTTTTTGTTCTTCTTCCTTCTCTCTACTTTTGTCTACTTTTTATTGTAACTAACGTTAAAAGAAAAGTTACGAAAAGTGAGATCAAGCTTGTAAGAATAGAGAGAGAGAGAGATACGGTCGGGAGTAAATACGAGGAGCCTTTCTAATTCCAAAGACGGGACCCACCACTATCTCCTTCGAGAAGTCCTTGGTAAGAAGGTACGAGTGGTGGGGCGTCGTCCTTGACACCTACCGTAACTTTTGTTGGACGGCTGCGTCTCGAGAATTCTTTCTTACCGCCCTACCGCCGCCCCCTACCCCACTAAAAACCCTTTCGATTTATTATCCAAAATAGAAAAAAATCTTCTTTTTATTATTCCATGAAATATTTTGTGTAATAATAATACCAAGTTACATATTTCTGTATCAATTGGCGATCAATTTTAATAAAAAAAATAAATAAAAGAAAGAAATGAGATAACAAAAAACAACTTCTATTAGATGATAACTTTGGCGATGTAATTTAAACGTTACATTCTCAATGTATATATATATATAGTAAGTTCTATCGATAAGATTAGAAAATGTGAAAAGAAGAAATAAGTATTTCGTTGTTGGTAAGAAACGTGTTAAATGTTAAAAGATTCGATAAGAAACTCACGCACATCGTAACACGAAGCTTTCCTTCGATATTCGAAATAAGAATAAACGAGATATATCGTTTGGCGTAGATAGGACGCGTGTCGATGTCACACCTATCTATCTTCGTAAAAGGTGCAAACGATATTTCTTCGTGACGAAACGAAACGAAATGAAACGAAATGAAACGAACGAACAAACGTGCATGTTGGATCACAGAAAAGGACATAGATACATAGATTGCTATCCGAAATCATGGAAGAACCCTCGTGAATCCTTTCGGTTCAATTAAATTTCACTTTGTTCATACATATTCATGTACAAATCGCTATATCTTCTCCCATTTTCTTCCTCGACACAATTTCAAATTAATCTCACACTTTCTTTTCAATTAATTTCAAAAAAATTGTTCAAACTATCAAAAACAATCTGAACCCTTTCGCTACGGGCATATCTTTCGCGGTGCTACTTCATCGAAATTGCAATTTATTTTCAAGTAATTTTGTTGTTAAACAAAACACTAAAATTACACGTCCAGTGTGTGGGATATTTGACTTAGTGCTATAACTGCATATGTTCGTCGTATTTTATGAAGGGCCACTAAAGTGATCCGTAGTAGCGAAAGGGTTAAAACTTATTCGTTAGAGTAAAACGAATTGTTATTATTTCATCATCTTTTTGTTCTATTTTTCCTTTGAAATTAACGTCGATTAATAATTAAAATTAAACACAAAAAAAGAAAAAGAAAAAGGAAGGAAGAAAGAAAGAAAGAATGAATAAAGTTTGATGATCCTCGCATAACTTATTTTATTAATAACCAAACCAGTTTGGACTGAAAGAAATAAAACAAAAAAGGAAAACTAATAAAAGATATTAAAAATGAATATTGATTTGCAATAAAATGTCTACGTTCCTTGGTCAATAATTTTATCGCAATGGCATCAATCTTGTCATTCGCAAAAAAAAAACAAATAAAAAATAAAAAAAAAGAAATGAAATTTGATAACGATCGGATTACGTGAAAAGTTGTACGTACATTCCCACTCGATATTAATCTCGAAAAAGAAATTGGAAACAGTTGTTTAAAACACTATACTATATTTTAAAGCTTCTACTACGATATTCATTTTCCAATCAGTTGTTTGTTCCATTCCGTTTGGAAAACATTTTTATCCATGTTATGTTATTTTTTTTTCTTTTTTCTTTTTTCTTTTTTCTATGATTTCTTATAACAATTCTATAGAATATAATCTCCTTTTATTTTCCATTTTCTTGTTTCACTGTAACTAGAATTATCAGTAGAACAATAACAATGTAAAAAAAAAAAGAAAGATAGCGTAAAATTCGACGATTATTTTGTTCTCGGTTGAATTAACCTTTGCTTACAACACTTGGTTCAAAGGAACCAGACGACCTTTTTTGCAACTTGAGTCTCTAAAGTTCTCAATTGTTCAATTTTGATAATTTTTTTTAACAAATTTAAATTTAATTTAAACCTATAAAACCTATATAATCTTTTTAAGTAAATATCAAAGAAATCTGAAAAATATGTTGAAGTAAATCTATGCAATAGTCTCTTTTTTATAACAATGTATCTCGCGGGTGTGTAAAAAAATATTTAGAAAAATATATTTGTCCAATGTAAAAAATTGCATTTAGTGTTTATGGTAGGAGATATATAGGTGTAAAGTTCTTTGATGTAATAGAAAATAGATGATCGATGGGTGATACCTAAAACGCAACTTTTACGTTCACACGAAGTATTAAATGTCAATGGTAAAATAATCAATCGATCGATTATGCAATAAACATAACAAAAGAAACGTTTCGTTTTGATCGTTCGCACGCGTCCACGAGGCTTCGCTAATTGACGGATTTATCGATAATTGGAATATTTAGAAGCCATGCCATGGTTTAGATATACGAATAGAAAAGAAAACGATACAAATAAAATCTACAAGAACAAATATGTTAATCTTTTCATCTTTTGTATTTATCTCCTTTTTTTTTTTTTTTTTTAATGAATTAATTCTATTTTTTGTTTGTTTTATTATCTTCTATAAAATAAACAAAATGTTATTTACTTTAAATGATTCGCGTTACACATATAATACATGTTACATTTTCATATACTGAAATAGATATTTGAAGTCATTCATGTAACATTGCAAATGGACAAAGTTAATTAAAGGAACAATCAAAATATGAATTTGTATGAAACTATTAAGTCGATGTTAACTTCGTTCAGGAAAAGCAAAAAGTGTAATTTCAAAATGAAAATTCATTCAAATTGATTTCATCTAAGAAAAAAAATTGGCCTAAAATAATTATGTCTTCACGTAAAACACTCGGGTGGTTTTATATACATTAAAAAACAAACATAATATGTGTTTCAATGATTATGAAAATGTCTCTTATCAAAATGTTCAAACTTAAAGATTATTATGAACGAATGTATTGATAGGTTTATTATTCAAATTTACATGAAATCAATCCAAAAGATATAAGAAAATAATAAACAAATTAATGACAAATAATTGTAGGACAAATTTTTACGAATTCGATCGATCCGATCTAAGATAAAATTATCTCGAATCGAAGATAACAAAAAGAAATCGTAGAAAAGGTATAAATACGACGTAGATAAAAAAAAAAAAAAGAAAACAAGAAAACACGTGTCGTGGAACATGATCGATATATCTAAATAATAGATTTTCAAATAAAAGTATTTCGAATCGTAAGATAACAAGCAGAAATCTTTAATAAATTTCGTACGATATAAAAACCAAAAAAAAAAAAAAAACATGTGTCATAAAACGATCGAATTAAATAATAAATTGAATAAATGAAAAATGATATATCACGAGTCAAAGATAAATTTAAAATTAAATGTATCTTCTTCGATGAAAGATAATACGAAAATATATCTTGAAAAAAAAAAAATAGTCTAAGATAAAAAAAATCACGTAAGTATCGCGGAATGATCGATTTAAATACACAAATAATATACACAAATATACTTTGATATACGTGCAATTTAATCCTTTGCTCATTTTCAAAGATAATACACTGGTGGCGTGTATCGCACGTGCTTTTCTAAGAACACATACGCAAGGTTTTTAATCTCGTATCAATAGAAATAAAAGTAAATAAAAGAATAAAGTAAATGAAAGCAACGTACGAGTACCGTCGGAAAGATTCCAACTCTCTTCTGTTATCCTCGCGTTGAAAGTTTACACACAAATATTTCATCTTAATAATTATTTTATCCGTCGGACAAGAGGAAAAATCATGAATTTAATGATAATTATTAGAAAAAAGAACAAGAGACAAAATATGTGAGAATTGTAGTAATACGAAAAGAAAAACAAACTCGATAAAATGTAATTTGAAATATTCGACAAAGGGAAAGCAACACTTTAACTGTATTAAATAATATAAGAATGTATATGTATATACAGGATGTGTCTGTTTGAAAACAAATCAAAGCAACTAAATTATTATCCCATCAAAATGTCTTTTTGTTGTATCAAAGTTGTATCTAAATGAAATTTGAATGAAAAACAGGACAACATGCATAAGTATTTGTTTAATAAATAGGATAATAAAATCAACAAAATATGATTACCTGCAATTAAGCAGAACTCCACTGTGATGACTAGGCGTACGTCTCCCGAAAATAGAATCCGATCATCCTGAAGACCGAATCCCCTTTTTGGTTGTGTTAATATTTTTCTTGATGAAAAACAGTAATAAATCCTCTTTCACCGAAAATATTCACTCATTCTTTTTCACAGTAAGAACGTTAGAACTTTTCTTGTCTTGACACGAAAAGAGATTTGGTTTCTTGATCAAAACAATATAAGTAGTAAAAAAACAAAGGAAAAAGGTAAGATAGAAAATTGGATCTCTCTTTTGCTGATAAGATTCTTCACCAATTACACGATATTACATTCGTAAACGTCGAATCACCATTAACAAATGATTTGCGTGTATGCGTGTGTGCATGTATATGATAGATACGAATGAAATTTTCGTGAATACGTTTGATCTTCTTATTTTTTCCCTCGAGGCACCCTGCCTCCCTCGAGGAAGGTCAATACTTTAGGGCCATCGCGAGAGCTACATCTTCGTCCAGAAGAAATGATAATCCAAATAAATGAAAATTCAGGGAATACCGAAATATTCTTTGGCGTACGTGATAACGTTCGTCGAGCTAACTTTCATTTCTGGTTGAATCCTTTAAAGGGAAAACACGATCCCGGAAGTGATCGGATGCAAATCTTCGAAGGAACCTTCGAAGCTGAACGAAGGCAAAAAAATTAATTAAGAAAAAATAGGAACGGATATAAACAACTAAATGAAATAAACGATAAAGAATCAAGATGGTAGGATAGTCTCGTTTAATAACTATGAGAAATTTGTATTAACAAATGTAATTTGGTTGGAAACTCTAGAGAGTTCTTGACGCGCCGACGCTTTCGTTCTATTCCCTTTAAAGCGGGCGCCGGCCGGTCTTAAAGCCGCGAAGCCGGACGACGATTCCTTTCGTTCCGTCGTTCGTTCGTTCGTTCAGGTCCGTAAGAAGCGTTGACGAACCCTACACGAATAACGTATTCAAATTTTTCTTTTCACTCTTTATATTTGAAAAAAATCTAGTATGTAGGAAAGATGGAAACGAAGATAAACGTTCAATTCTACTATCTCTTCCCTTTGTTCCTTAACTCGCGTTCCGTCGGCGAGAACGTAGATACATATACACATAAACTCACACTCACGCTCGAACACACAGTTGCGCGCGCGCGAGAAAGAGAGGTTATTCAGCGGATAACACACTCAAAAAAAAATCACTCCACGTCTTTGTTTTATTTATTTTCAAATAAACGAATTTGTAGGCTAACGCGGTACCGGTATAAGTAATGCTGTCATAGAAAGCAAGGCTTCTTCACTTCCGGTAAAAGATAACCGCCGGTAACGCGATATAACGCAACGTAACGTGTTCACCGTAGAACGACTAAACTGTGACTGCGGCTTGTAGAGTTCGACGGCATCTACCCCCACCAAAGCAAACCGCCCGGCCAGCCTCCTCAAGCCACGCCTCCTTGTCTACCGAGAGCGTCCAACTACCGCGCCCCTTATTCGACTCTGCCCATTTTGAAGTCTCGAATGACCTGCCTCCATCCTGGTCACCCCCACCGACGACGTGGCTGACCTCTCGGTCACGCCCAATCAAGTCGCGGCTCCTTTTTCCCGCGATCATTTCTCTCCACCGCACCGCGCCAAACCTAACTGTCTTCCTCCCTCTCTCTCTCCTTCTTTTTCTTTCTTCTCCCTTTTTTTTTAGTATCTATATACTCTCTGGTGCCCCCCTCCCTCAATGACCAACCTTGTCTTTTCCCGCGCTTTTAACTCCATCGTTTGAATCTTCTTTACTCGATCGCTACTCGATCCAACAACCGAGATTAACATTTTCACTCTAAAGATTGATTATGTTTCTCCTATTATTTATTTTATCTTTAAAAGTATAGTAAATCGGAATCGCATGCTCGAATATTCCCTTGTGGTATTTACAGTATCTTTAGAGATTAGAACCCGGCTGTGATTTCAAGGGATTATTGGAATTTTGTTTTGATGTTGATGAGTGATAGTATTGCAAACCGAAACGACTTGAAGGAAGAAAACGGTAGTATTAGTTACATGATTTCGATACATTTTTTGAAAATAATAAACCCTTGTGCGTTCATTCAATCTTCGAAACCATGTATTTCTAAATAATCCTTTTTCCACAGATAGTTTCGATCTATTTAAAAAACCGTTTGAAGAAATGTACTTTTTCACTTACTTTATTCAAAGACAAATGTGATTCTTAGATTTTGTCTATTTAACTAATGTAAAATACCATCACTGTTGTTGACTTGCTGAAATGTATCCTAAAGTTCAGATTTTTTAAACTTTTAAGGCTGCTGTTTTATGCCTCTCTGTAAAAGAATATCAACGAAATTTCTTGCAATAACATTAACGCAATCGTTCAAACTCATCCTGAGACCATACATAATATAGTTGCGATAAATCATTTATGGAACTTTTAGATTCCTAGATAGATAAAAAAAAAATCTGCTGATATATATTTTCAAATCCCTAATTAATCTTATATTAATCCCATTTAACTAACGAAAAAATAAAATCATTCATGAATGACAGGATAGAGAAAAGTTTGGTGCACGTTCCCTGCTCTCTCTCTCTCTCTCTCTCTCTCTCACTCTTTCTCTTTTTTCCTAAAAAATTCACTGTCTCTCCTCTCCTTGTCCTCTCCCTAAAAGAACTAGAAAGAAAGAGAAAGAGAGAGAACTGTGAAACCAGTGACGTCGTATTCCGTGTGGTTTTTTGCAGCGAGCAATACAGTGCCAACCGGTGCAAGTTCGTTGGAAATTGGCCACGCCTACCGACACCATCGCAGCCACGCGAGTTACCAGCATTGCGCATGCGTGCTCAACGAGGAACTATATACGCGCGCTTTCGAATTACCCTCCGCCATCTTTCACGCGCGGTACATCAGTGGAACGCCGTTGCTTGCTTACTAGCTTGCTTGCTCGCTCACTCGCTTGCTCGCTTGCTAGCTTGCTTGCTTGCTTGCTTGCTTGCTTGCTTGCTTGCTTGCTTGCTTGCTTCTCTCCCCTTTCTCCTCTTCTGCAGCAGCAGCCACCTCCTCCTGTCCCTCTTCGACAAACCATCCACCGGTCGCTTTCTCAGCTGCTACCGTTCCATTGCTGATACCACACGCGGTGTTCTATGTAGTTTCACAGCGTATAACTAGCGAGATACTGTATTGGGATAGAGCCGTAGAACTAGTTACCAAAATGGCGCTTACTGCCCGCGATATATGCTTTTGCATTCCTAGTACCAGCAACTGCTTCAAAACTTAACTTCAAATCTTCTTTCTTAAGCCTCATTTACTCGCTAAAACATACGAAAAATATTCTATTATAAGAAGAAGACCTTTTCGCATTTATTTTACCAACTATCGTCCTGATTTTTCTAATCTTTTCTCCATACTAATTTAAATCTATGTATATTGTTTCGATACGACGTTATTGTTTATTAATTAAATATATTTTCACTCTTTCATACGTAGAATTTATCGATTGCATTCTTTTCTTTGGGTGTAACGATTATTACATAAAATCCTGTATTTATTTGTATACAACAGTCAAAAATCGGAAAGTTAGATCGTTACAAATGCGATAACTTATCAACTTTTATGTATTTCGTATATATCGTACATTTTATCAAGATTGATACAAAAGTATCGTATGTTTATTGTAATTTTATATTTTCGCATTATTTTGAATTAATGATGTTTATTAATTGTTACAAAACGATATTATTTCCACGATTATTTAATGAAGAAACAAGTGAAGAAACTCTGCAATCAACCGGACTTGCATTTGGAATGTTAGTTACCAGATATGCTACTCCATTGTATGTAAAATGTAAACTAAATTTTTTATTAATTTAATAATAAAAAAAATTACATGAAATAAATAAAATTGCAAAAAATCATTACTTTTTACATCGACGAGTAAGTTATGTAAAAAAAAAAAATGTACCATTGCCGAAACCCGGGATTGAACCGGGGACATTTAGATCTTCAGTCTAACGCTCTCCCAACTGAGCTATTTCGGCAGACATGAAAGTATGTTTTTATTACTAGCTTTAAAACTAATACCTAATACACTTCATGTTCAATTATATAAATATATATGTATATACTTCATAATTATTAGTAATTGATATTTCAATATTGCTTCGTAATGGCGAGGGTTATTAATCATACTATATTGGTTATGCTAATATAATCTAAATTACTTATCGACCATTATCTACATATTTAAGTCAGTTTAATAGAATTGTAAGCCTTATATTAAGTTCATCAGGTAAGTACATCTGTGTATTTAATTACTAATAACTTTGATCTATATATATATATAGCTTAATAAAACTTATAAATCCTATTAATTATTATTACTCTGCATTTTTGTATCTGTCATAAATAAATCTCATTCTCCTGCATATAAGAGGTTATGATATTATTCATAGTTCTTTTGAAACATGCATCTATTTTTTAAAAAATATCCCTATATATATATAAAAATAATATTCATAATCTAATTTTTGATTATTATTTAATAGAATAAATATCTAAGAAGACAACATGCAGAAAGCTTTGCTTCCAATAAACAATGTCCAAACTCAAGTGATAGCAGAGGGTCGATGGGTTGAAGAAAGTTTTCCGCAAGATGGTAAAAAAGATGTGGTAATAGTTATTCCAGGAAATCCAGGAGTTCCACAATTTTATGAAGGTTTTATTAAATCTCTCAATTCAAAATTACCATCGGAAACTCCAGTTTGGGTCATTGGACATGCTGGTCATATTCAACCACCTAAAGATTTGGAAATTAATATGCCTAGCAACAAAGAGTGGGATAAATATTATGGTTTAACTGCACAAATAGAACATAAGGTTAATCATTCCTTCTTTCTCTTTTTCCTTAACTTTTACTTTATTATTAAAAACATATTAAAATATATGCTATTTTATATTACATAGATACAGTTCATAAGAAATTATGTCCCAAACGATGCTAAAATATATTTAATAGGTCATTCAATTGGATGTTGGTTTATATTAAATGTACTGAAAGATGAAGATATATCTAAAAAGGTAGAAAAGTGTTACTTACTCTTTCCTACGGTAGAACATATGGCAGATACTCCAAATGGACGCTTTCTAACAAAGTTTGTAAGTTTTTCTGCTACTAATTGAAAAAGATGCATCTTTCTAAATGTTAACACATCCATAACAAATTTGATTACAGATTTTACACATAGTCAACTTATTGCTTTTTTTAACTTGGATTTTTACATGTTTTCCTTATTACTTGAAAGCATTTCTAATACGTTTGTTTGGTATATTTTATGGTATTCCTGCAAAACATGTTAACACAGTGATTCTATTGTTACAACCTAGCGTACTTAAAAGAGTATTTAGATTAGCGGATGAAGAAATGAAACAAGTAAAAGAACTTGATCATAATATCGTTTCTCAACACATTGGTAAACTTTGGCTTTACTATAGCGAGAAAGATCAATGGACTCCGATCAGTTATTATAGAAACATGAAAGCTAAATATCCTAATATAGAAGCTAATCTTTGTAAGCATGGCTTTGCTCACAGTTTTATATTAAATCATGAGAAAGAAATGGCTGAAATAGTAGGTAATTTAATCAATGAGAATATATCAAAAGCCTAATTGTTGATCAAGATAGTAACAGCCTTATGCATTTTAATCTATTCTGTTATAACATGGCAACAAATAGTGATAAGGTAATAGGTCAAATTATAAGCGATTTAATATATAATAATATATCTCTCATAAATCTAATTAATGATTTGTTATGATTAAATATTGTTGATTTTATATCAAATTATTTTAATGACATATCTAACATTCTATTAATAAAATATTTGATCTTATAAGCACATATGTACTATATGTATATCATGTACATTTATACTAAACATTATAATTAATAACACTTATTATATTTACTTGGATAAAATTTAATTATTGTTTGAACTTTAATAATAATTTGTTCAATTTTTAAATAATAGCGCTTTAAGGAAAGATTATCAAAACTTCTTTTGATTGGTATCAAACAATCAACGACATCTGCCGGCATCGATTAATAAACAAATATGAATTTAACTTAAAATCATGTGGCGCTCTCTAAAAGAGCGTCCGTCATTAAAGTGAATAGTAAAAAGTTGTGTACCTATTTTGTCATTAAATAATTTTTTTTTTTCACTAATGTATACTAATAAATGTATTAAATTAAGTTTTTATCGACGTTTAAAAAATTATTCTTTTATGGAAAACAAGTTAACCTTATTTATAAATCGTTACTTTTCAAATGTGCGTAATCATCATAGGGAACTGATTTTCATCGATGTAGTAGTGATAGCATAGATAGTAGATAAAATATAATGAATTGAAATAGTAGACCACTATTACATGTGTATCTTTATCTTCATACATGTGTAAACGTTAGTATCAAATTTAGAAATATATATTTAGTTGAAAAGAAAAGAAAAGTAAACAAGAAGAAACAACCACAGTGATATTATATACATTTAAATTGATGAAAGAAGTTTAAAGAAAGAAAGAAAAAAAAGTAATCCATTTATATTTTATGATTTGTCCAATGACAATTGTCAATGCATAATAATATTAAATACGTGAAACTTTATCGGAATGTAAATATTTTATTATTGTAAAGTTTGAAAAAGAAGATAATACATATACCTGTATAAGTAGTGACAGCGCTTTATTTAAAGACGTCATCATTTTGATTGTTGTGTTTATATGTATATATATAAATATACAAAAGATTAAAAGAAGATGTTTTCTATGTCTTTTAATATAACAAAAACAATAGAAGATGTCATAGGTAATATATAATTTATATTTTTTTTTCATCATTCTGTTTTACATATTTGAATAGCATGCAATGATGACACATTTGTTTAGATTATATTGGTACATTTTTTCAATTAATGTTAGAATACATGTATGTGTTGTTCATGTATCCTAATATTTAGGATAATATATTGTTGTATTATTAGAGTAAACAATTAATTGCAGTTGTTTAATTAGTAAGAAAATTAGATGAGAAAAAGAAATTGTATAAAATATACTTTCTAATTTTTAGTTGAATACATTGATGTGGATTTTACACTATGGCTGACTTGGCTTTTAATGCCGTTACTTATAACATTTTTACTTCCATTTGTAATTGTTCTTCTGCTATATTTTACTATTTTAACGTTACACATATACAGATCACACAGGTTAGTATATAGTAGTAATGTATTTATCATTCATTATATTTATAAACGAACAATTATTTTTCCAGAGGAAGAATTCAAAATGCTTATGGAACTGATTGGAAATTTGCAGCTCAATCCGTTACTGGTGCTATTTGGGATGCACATGGATGGATTTGGCATGGTATGATTTGTATAATACAATTTGATAAGTAATAGTGAACAAAAAAATCTACCAAAATTTCTATTACATTATTGGATTATACGTGTTTTTTTTCTTTTTGTCAGGATATGAAGTTGTTGGTTTAGAAAACATACCAAAAGATGGTGCAGCTATGTTGATATTTTATCATGGAGCAATACCCGTTGATGTCTATTATTTTCTAGCCAAAGTATTTCTATATTATTCAAGATTAATCTACACAGTAGCAGATCGTTTTCTTTTTAAAATTCCGGGCTGGTCTATTATGTCTGATGGCTTACGTGTATTACCTGGAACAATTCAGACATGCTCATCCATTTTGAAAGAAAAACATTTGCTTGCTATTTTACCAGGTGGTGTTTATGAAGCACAATTTGGAGATTCTTATTATAAACTTTTATGGAAGAAAAGGATAGGTTTTGCAAAAGTTGCATTAGATGCTAAAGTTGTACGTCATATAATTTTATATAATTAATATATATATATATATATATATGAATAGATGGTAATACTTACATTACATTTGCAGGATATAATTCCAATATTCACAAGAAATATCAGAGAAGCATTTAGAACAGTAACTTGGGGTCGTAGAATATTTTTGCGTTTATACGCAGCAACAAGATTACCCATAGTTCCAATTTATGGTGGTTTTCCTGTAAAAATGGTAACATATGTAGGTAAACCAATTCCTTACGATGAAAGTCTTACACCAGAACAATTACAAAAGAAGGTAAATAGTATTACAAAATTAGATAGATATATCTTTAATTTATATAATTATTCTAAATGATAGATTATTTGCTAATATAATATTTAGGTCGCTGCAGCTGTAGAAGATTTAATTAATGAGCATCAACAAATACCAGGAAGTATTACACGAGCCTTGTTAGAAAGAGTTTTACCTCCTAAGAAGAAAACTCAATAATTATGGATTTTAGAAACATATCCAAATGAATCCAATGAAAATCATCCATATATGATATTTATATATGTTACTATAGGATACAATGTGTACTTCCTCTAATTTAATATCATTACTAGTTTTTTTAAACATAAAAACAAAAATTTTGTCATATTGAAGAAAATTCTATGTGAAATTTATATTTAAATTAGAGGCCTTAAGGAAATTCCATCAAAATGATACATAATTTTATATGTCCTTCTATTTTCCAAAAAAAAAAAACAAAAAAACAGAAATGTGCTTTTTACAGTATTACTATAGTACATACACTTCTTCGAAATGAAATTTATAAATTATTTAATCATTCTTTTATTTTACGGGTATATAAGTTATGGTTAAATATATTTTTCTTATACAAGTATATAAGTAAATTTATATTTATATGAACTTGTATAATTATTCTTAAAACTATTTTCATGGTGCATAGTATTTGTAAGTATTTGGTTATGCCTAAATGGGGTACTTAAATATTTAAATAATTTAAAAGATTTAACGCGCGTTACTCTTAAGTGCTCTCTATTATTTTATTATTTTGTATTTTATTTTAGTTCGTAAATTATATTTTTGTAAAGTAATTGTTATTTTTTTCGACAGAAATTAAATGAAATTTTATATTAAAAAAAAAAAAAAATTCTAATTTATATCGACAAAATAATATGTGTTTCCAATTTTGTATTACTTTTGCAAAGTATTATTCTTTGTGATACAATCTTGTGATCAAATTAAACATTATTATTGTAAAAGAATAAAATAATAAAATGTCTGTTGATAATATATAAAAAAGGAAATTCTTTAAATAAACCGATTTTAAACGTAACTAAATGAAATTATTATTATTATTATTATTAACTGACATTAGGAACTCGAAAGTTCATTGCCACAAATATCAAATGTCGCCATTGTTTCCCGTCCCTAAGCTCGATCTTTCCATTCGCGGTCTTAAAAACTAAATAAATACAACATATTAATAAGAAAGAAAGAAAAGTAAACAAAAAAAGATGAAAATATAAATTTGAAATGTTAGCGCCAGGAAATGTTAACATCGATCACTAGAATTTGAGAGGAAGTGGTATCGATAGTGGCGTCTTCTATCGGCGTCTTTAACAATTGATATTTCTTTCCTGGGGGGTATTCAGGGGTATCTAAGAAGATTTTATTTTTTAGCAAGCGGCATTGGCCTAGGATCGTCTCCAATCGTCTTTTAAGGTAGCGGAAAGCACGTTTATGCAATTTCTGTTAGCCGGTGGTCATTGCAATCCCGTCCGCTCTAACGGATTTTAGTTAAAGACTTTTTTTATCCAAGAAGTTAAGTCAAATTCCATAGTGAAAAATAATCATGGGCGTGGATGTCGAGATTCTTATTCACGGTGATGGTAATTATTTTTTTTTTACTTCATTTTATATATATAATATATATATTTACCTGCATTTTTAACACTCCATTAAATTGAACAAATTTTGTCTACCAATATTTCTCTTTCTTTTTACGATATATTTTATAATACATAATGGTGGTTAAATGCGTTTCGACTTTGATCCTCCATCTCTCGATGTTTTCCGATTAAAATTACTTTTTTCTTTTTTTCTTTTTTTTTCCTATTCCACTTTTCTTTTTTTCTACGAGCACTTGTTTCTACGCGTGATCACTTATTATCATTAATCAAAGTCAAAGTTAGAATGCATTTATGCCAGTCACGTGCATAATTATAACAATAATTGCTCATAAACATGTAATTATATTTACATTTCCAGGCCAAACTTATCCCAAAACAGGACAAACCGTAGTTGTTCACTATACAGGTATTATTACTTATTAATTATTAATTATTATATATATATATATATATATATATATATATATATAAAGATTTATAAAATTTTATAAATTATCTTGACTAATATCACTATATGTTTATTTTTGTATTTTTTTTTTTAAATAAATGATAGTATTTTATATTATTTAAAGATATGATTATATATAGTTCACAATTATAATATACTTAAAATGATAATGATGATAGGTACCTTGAGCAATGGAAAGGTATTTGACTCTAGCAGGGACCGTGGAAAACCATTTAAATTTAGAATTGGTAAAGGAGAGGTAATTAAAGGTTGGGATCAAGGTGTGGCACAAATGTGTGTTGGAGAACGTGCAAGGCTAACATGTTCACCAGACTTCGCTTATGGTAGTCGAGGACACCCTGGAGTATATCCTTTAATACAAAGATAAATATAATATAATATATTACAATGATTCTTTTTTTTTTTTTTATTTATTCATTAGTATTATTGCATTACTCTGTAATGTCTAAATATTGACTTATATTAACCTTGACAAAGACACACTATTCCACCAAATTCCGTTCTCATCTTCGACGTAGAGCTGCTGAAGGTGGAACCTTAGGATACTCTATGGAGTCTATTTGTACCGACCAAACACCTAAATATCTGAAAATTAAACAAACGCTAAACGCTTTAAAATTAATTACGTTAAGTAGTCATTGTACAGACGGCACTTTGTACACAATAATTCAATCGCTCATATTTTTACAACAACAACAACAACAAAAAAAACAAAAGAAAGAAAGACATATAATTACTTCTTTTTCTTCCTCTCTTTCTAATCACAGTTTACATTAAAAAGTATTAACGGAAGGAAAATACAATAAAGGAATTAATAGAGACTAAAAAGTTATACTTGCACTATGAATTATATATATATAATGATAATAATAAATATATTTGAAAATATTCTATGTAAAGAGATAATTGTTACTTTATCTTTTAATCTTGTAATTAATTTGTCATCACTTAACTTGTGTAGTATCCTTCAAGATGTTCCTGCAATGAGCGGTTGAATAATTAAATTTGAAAACATTTGAAAAGTAATCTACAACCTGTGTTCATTCCACTTACTTAGCATTTGGTAAATAATCATCTGCATATTTTGTACAAAAATTTTCAAATATCACACCAAGTGTAATTGTACTAACGATGTAATAGTCCTAAATATTGACATTTTAAAATTCAATAAAAAAAAATTGAACTTACTCAATAATTAATATCATTTTCTTATGTTAAATGGTATATATATATATGGATAAATAATTATTAAATATCGTTGTACATTTTTCAATGTTATTGATTTTTTTCATTAATACTTACAAAAATTAATTTTCTATTACACTTTCTTTTTTTTTTTTTGATGAAGTTCAACATTGTTTAAATTTATATGGAAATGAGTACAACTCTGTACAATACAATAAAACATAAAATAATTTATTTCATAAATTAGCAAACATATTTTTTGTTTCTTTTTATCTCTCCGTGTGTTGTTTTTAAGCGTCGATGTACATACATAGTGACAATAAATACACAATGATTATTAATAATGTGCAAGCATGGCACTTGTACTTAATGTTTTACATTCTATAAGTACTATTGTTTTACAATATGTGCTAAAAATAAATACCTATACAATAGAAAAACTTGATTACAACATTCTCTATTCCCATATTAAATTGGTACTAATACTAAATTTTTCAGCTACATTCTAAATAACAACGTCAGTGAGACAATAAAGAAACTTAATATATAAAACAATATTAATTTCTATATGATATAAATTAATTATCTTATATGTTGTAACTGATAAATAAATTGGTGTCACATTTAAGCCATCAAAATATTCTCTTATATAAAAATATTATGGTATCACAATTACGCAATTATGCTTATGCACTTGTAGTACAATAATATAAAGCAATATTGTAAATTGTAAATTGTGTAATTGACTTCCATGAGCGATAATAATATTATTTTGACGAACAAACTAAAGAAGCATATATATATATATNTATATATATATATATATATATATATATATATATATATATATATATTACGAATTTTACATAAATATACGAATATATTTACCTTTCTCTAATAAACAAATAATTCTGGAAAATGTATTTCATAAGCTGGAGTTTGATTAGGTTTGGCATCCGTTTGTGGACCTCCTGGTATTATATTACGTGGATCAACTGTCAATGTATTAAATATTTCTGATAGTTTACTTTGTAAAACGTCATGCTGTAATCATATAAAGTTAATACAGTTTAGTCCTTGTGTGCGTGTAAAGCGTTTTCGATTTTATTCGAAACAATTTATTTTCGTGATACCTTTGGTTGTGTTATCGACACAAGATCTTGGAATGGTGCACTTCGGAAGAATTGTGAAAGTTGCATTCGTTTTTCCTCTTCTATTACATTATTGTTATTAGTTTCAGTCAAAATTCTTTTCATACTCTCGAATGTCAACTCTTCACCAGGTAGTTTCTATAAATAGGTGAAATAATGTTAGTGTTGTTAATGATAATTATTATAATCATTGAAAAATATACTTTTTGAACGCCTGGAGATGAACCACCACTGTCCAATTCTCCAGTACCCGAGTTAATATCGGCTAATGAATTTCTTCCTGTACCATCAACCCATGAATGCCTTTTGAAAAGATATATACATGTTATATACATAAGTTATAAATGAAATACGGAATAACAGTAATTAATATTATGTTACCTGTGTTGTAGAGAAGTGCTACTGTAACCAGATCCTTGTTGAAGTTTTCCACTATCGAGGCCAGCTCCTTTTAGACATTCGCTTACCACAGTTTGATCTACTAGCAATGTCGGTACTAATCTTGGAGATAAATTACTGTCGTATTGAGAATGTAAATTAGGCAACAGATGTGGGGCTTCTTTTCGGCGAGCTTCAACAACCTAAATCAAATATTTCACAAATAATTGATTATAGTAATATTGTTATAATTAGAGTATTTTTGATCTATATATCATAATATAACATACTTTATGCGCATAATCCATAAGAGAAGAAATATTGCAAACGTAAGAAATCAAAACAAGTAAACTAATAACAATAGCATGTAAATTGAATTTCAATGTAATGCTTATTTGGCCGCTTGTCAGTGCTAGATCTTGAAGACTCAAAACTAATCTTAATAGTTCTAAAATAGTATCCTCTGAGGCGAGTTCTACGACTAGTAGAGCTAAAGTTGTATATATAGATTCCACATTTTCAACAGCGTTGCTTGTCAATTCTAAAGATTCATAAAGTGCTAGATAAATTTCAGGTCCATGTTTTCGAATAAATATAATATCCGGTCTAGACGATTTCTCGATTACCAAGTCGAGTTCAGCTACGTTCACGCTGCCAAAGAAAAATCAGATTATTTATAGAAACAACACCTGCTGACCATAACGATTGACATGAAAGCTTAAACTAACTCAACTTACGTTGGCTTAGCAAGTTTAGCTATATTATTATGTCTGTCGATTAAAGTGTGGAATATTTTTTGTACCAACAGTCTCATTTCAGCATCTGCTGCTAAGGACATCCTAAGCAATGGTTCTAAGAAACTTGGTGGGAACGTTGTATTTAAATGAATCGTTTTATACTTTGTACCGACCTATTATTATCAATATAAATAACGTATTAATTATTTGTATTCATCAAACATTTTTTTCCCTATATATCAAATAATTTATAATATGAATATAGTTTACCTTCAATAGAGATTTCAAGAGAATACTTTGGAGCAAAACATCTCCTTTACCAACAGGAATAATACGATCTGTTTGATTATACGGAACTTTACTCATTATAAACATCATTATTTCAATCTTTTGATAATCAGGTAGATGATTTGCAAACTCTCCAAGTGCATTGATAAGAGCTTCTTGATATAACTGTTCATCATTGCCGGATGATTGGTTTCTCGTTACACTAACTCGTAAATGAGATAATAACGAGTTGATTATCTCCAAAACAGAAGGACCTTAAACACACATTTAAATATATATCATAATTGGATATTTCAAACATTTGTTCATAACATATATAAATTAATATTTATATCTTACCAACACTTTCTCCAGCTGCTATTGAAATAATTTTGGACAATGTGTCCGCAATGCTCGTTCGTATTTTCGGTGATGATTTTGAATGATCATCAAGATGAGTCATTAAAGCTTCGACAACTGTATAAGAATATTGTGACTGGAAATAATAATTTACACCATAAATAATCAAAACTTTTAATTAGAAATTATACACATAATTTAATATATAACCAACCTGTATAGAAAACATTATTATCCTAAATACATGAATAGCAAAATAATTAGGAACCCATAGCTGGTGATTATCTAAATGTCTGAAATCAATTTTGATTATCATTTATATGAATGTGGTGTCATTTATAAAATATAACAATAAAATTCTATCGAACCTTAGAACAGGTCTAATAACACATCGAATGTGTCCAAATGAAGCACGACCAACAAGTTCTCGCATACAACTTTCTGCAAATTGTGGTGGTTCTGGTCTTTCTTCAGTTGGACAATCAGGTGTTGCGTCTTCTTTGTTGGCATATCTATAAAATAATATATTTATGTTTGATAAATATATTCTGTTTCAGTTGATTTTTACTGACCTACCTTGTATTTTGCATATTGTATAATAATGAAGGTACTATTTTATCCATATGAACAGGTTCCCAAATGTTTTCAACCAAGTCATCAGAAAGAGTTTTTCTCACAACACCCTGTACATAAATATTTTTAATTAATTACATTGATGAACAAAGTATACATATAATATGAATATTGATATCAAAATTATACCTGCAATCCTTGGATTCCTGCAAGTCTGATCTGTTTGCGAATAGTGGCGTCGTCATGGTTGGAGTGGCACATTGCAGAGTATTTTGATACAAAGAAATCGTAACGTGTGTGATAAGACGGCGTGTCTTCTTCGATGTTGGCAAATCTGACAAACTGGAAGAAGCCAGGACTTTGTTCAACTGAATTAAAACATATAATATATTTTGTATTACTAATGAATATAATTAAAGCAAAATGATGATATCACTCCCAATCACATGCATATATGAAAAGAAAAAAAAAAAACTATACAAACAAATGCAACAATTATTGGTTAGATATATCTGTCAGGTATCTTGTTAGATATTCAATATATATATTGATATAATAAACGTTTACTTACAGATTGTGTCGCAAGAATTTGTAATTGTGGATCTGTCGATTCCAATAATTTTTGGACCATTTTTAAAAAACTTTCAACGAACAGATTGAGAGTTTGTGCATGGCATGCAACTAACAGTTGATCCATGGCTTCCATGGCAATAATCACAAATCCATTTCTTCTCCTGTTCAAATATTTTCATTTAATTTAATGTTATCAAATAATAACTTATCAGTATTTTTATTAATTACAGTCATTTACAAAACACAGTTCAATTATATATATATATATACAATAATAATTAAACATGACATAAGAACAAGAATGACTAGTAATAAGTAATCATGATTTTTTTTTTGTTTTCACAATGACATACGTTTATTCTAGTAGAAATTATATAAAACTTACCTATATATGTCTCTGGAGGCTCTTTGAAACAAATATTCTCCTATTCTATCCAATTTTTCTGGACTGCTCAATGAATAAAATGTCAACTTTTCCATATTATTTTTAACCAGGCCATCCTACATAAAAAAGCAAAAAAAAAGAAAAGATTTAGATTTTGGCATGTATAGATGATTTTATACTTTCAAGCCAATATTGATTACTTTTTGGCTGATATATATATAGTTATAAGAACCAGTATAGATATCTATAGTTAACAGGTATGCAATTGTGACATTAAAGTACAATGTTTTATCAATTATATCTTATATATTAAAATTTGATAAAATAAGAAGAATTATTGAATTGAATTAATCAAACAATAATTCAATAGTTAAAAACACAATTGATAAAAAATGAAATAAATACCTGTGGGTTAACAGGAAAAATGTTGTCAACCAGTCTCTTGTATCTTGGGCGTAATGCAGAGCAACACCAGCAGCAACCTATTGAAAGTAAAAAAAAAACATTTTTTTTTAAATAAAATCTTTCTCTACGAAATATGAAATAATATCACGATGAAGTATGATCAAAATTGAAGAAGTTTTATGAATGAAAGATTGAAAAACAGATCAAAATATTCGTGAAATTGAAGTATTTACCAAACATTTTGACAGGAGTATCTAGCTCGTATGCACTCAATACGGACGACCTTCGATTTCTACTAACTTTATCGGTCGAGTAAAGTAACGACAAAGAAAAGAGAATAAGAAAAATCAATTATTTTTCCTTCGCAAACTGTATTACCAACAAATAATTTAAATGATTATATTATCAAGAAAATATAGGAAGTTCTAGATCACTGACATAACCTATCGAATGTCGGTAGTTATCTGTTATGGTAGTATAAATTATATAGTTTGTACTACGATTGATAGATGGCAGCAGCAGTCATATTCCAATGAATGAAATAATTTTTGAATGAAAATAGTTTTTGAATGAAATAGTATTTCTCTTTGATTTGTTTTGTTTATTTTCTTCTTACTATCTTTTTATTTTTGTTAATTAGAATATATATATATATTTTTTTAAAATTATTCTGGTATTAAAACAGCAACAATTTGTGATGGAATGTAATCGTATGGAACGAAGGTTTTATATGCAAATAGTAATAGCACGTAGAGACTTCAACGTCATGAATTAAACATTAACGAGAGCTCATTGAGAATTAATGGTATCACCAAATAGATTTATGATGAATAAATTAATTATCTTGGTCTTGGTGCACGAGACCAAGTGCATGGTATTGTTAACGGTTAAACCCATAAACTATTAAGTATCGTGTGTGTCATTTTTTTTTAATTTAACAGTTAAATGTAGATGACATTTTTCTACACGATTGTATATATATATATTTATATGTACGTACTTACACATAGTTACACATAGATAATCAACGATAAGAATGATACTTTTAGACTTGAAAATAGCCATGGGGGTTTTTACAACGTCGATGTAAGTCTTCGGAAATCAATAATAGCTCTCGCGCACATAGTTTGAACGTTACTTAAGACGATTGGTCATCCTTGCAGAAACGATCAATAATATCGTGAATAGACAATGTTCTGCTGTTAAAAAGATAATACGAACGTTTTTCTTAAGATAATAAGACCACTCGAGATAAATATTGAAAAGTATAATATCTTTGAAAAACGTGATTATAATCTCGATCTATGCGACAACATGTAAAAACATCGACTCTTTAGTTTTTATCTTTCAACATTTATTTACTTCTAATCCTTTTTTTGAAGTGAAAAAGAATTCTTTAGAATCAGGGTGATTTGAAAATTTTGAAACGGAAGAACGTGAAATCGATGAAACAAAAATAATGAATTAATTAATAAAATTCAATAAATAATTTAATTCTATATATATTAATTAATTAATTAATCAAATTCTATATATAAAAATTCAGTGTCATAATATGTTTGTCCACTACTAATTCCAAAACTACTCAACTTATCTTAATGAAATTAATTTTATTTCAAGCGTGATTTTTTCCAACTTAGCATACTGTTACACACCATTACATGGCATTGTATTACAATTCAATTATTTCGAAGTTTGGTTTTCTTTTACTTCTACCGTGTGTGATCAGCACACACCTGTTTTTTGTTTTATTCATTAATTTATATTATTATGATATTTGGATGTAATTTTATATGTAAAATGATGATCAAATTTTGGTTTATAATTTTCTATTTTTTCATATTTAATTTATGCGAATAAAAAACAAAAAAACCTATAAAAGATTATGACACGAACGTTCTATTATTTTCTTTTACTGTTAAAGATATGTTCGATGTTTAACAAAGCTTTTGTCATAGCAATCGAATGCCAATGCGTGTTCTCTAACAATAACTTACAGGCACGATGATTGGACTAAACGCACCTTTAGAAATCGTCGCACGTTTCAAGAAGACAAGCATACTCGAAAGAATGAAAAAGTATTTTAGTCCTCAGGGTTGTTCGTTCATTCATGAAGATATTTTTTAACATTGAAGATCATAGATAAAGTTCCATTTCATTGACCTATATATTCTAGCATTTCCATAGAGTTTCGATATTTGATCGTACACACATGGACAAAAAAAACACATTCATGATATTATGCAAACGTGTGTTTGTATTATAATTAACAATTCTATCGAGGTTCCGAACGGAAACAGCCGTAAGGAATAAAAACAGAAAACTTTCCTACAATTTTGTTCTTTTCAATAGAATAATGTCATGTCCATTATATGCCCATTGCGAAAGAAAGAGAGACAGAAAGAGAGAGAGAGAGAGAGAGAGAGAGAGAGAGAGGGAAGAACAAACTCATCATTTATTTATTTTAAAAACAAATTATCAAAGAAAACAAAGGTAACAAAATGTATTATAAGAAGACGACACGCATTGTAATTTTAATTAGAAAGATAAATAAGAAGAAAGAACAGAATGTTTGAGAATATCGTTGCATTGAGAAATAGAATGCATAATTATGAATATTAGATTTACTTATATAAGTATGTTACTTACTCTACTTATGTCAATATGGAACTTAAGTACTTATGCAAGCTGATTATAATAACTTGTCCATATTTGCAATTATTTACAAAATACACACAATAATTAATTGAAAATCTACACACATTGGTTTGAATAAGTTTTTTAAATTTATCAGTGTTCTGTTTTTCGCACGAATCATTTCATATTCATTTAGAATGAAGATGATTTAATGAATGTAAATGATCGATCAAATACTCACAACCAGGATCGGTGCACTTTTGTACGAGTGATCCAAGGATTTCAGGTGCTTCAGCTTCGAAACAACATCTGACAAGTGCCATAACTTTCGAGATGTTGCTCAGTTTCCATGAGTTTTCTTTTCTTCTTTATGGAAAAATAAAGGATAGACTAAAAGAAAGAAAGAAAGAAATGAGACAAAGGTTCCGTGACGACGACGCGTGGCGTCGCGACGCCTGTGTTCTACTGACCCGCATGCACAGCACAGTACAGCACAGCACAGCACACGAGGTGATCTCAACTACCCTTGATAATACTTTCTCTGGTTACGTCATTCGACGGAAGGGCGCCTGTGCCAAGGCTTGCCAAGTTGGAGGGGTGACAACTAACGGATGAATTAGCACCCTTTTTTTAACAAAAAAAAAATTAACAAAAAATACAGAAAAAATAGATCCCTCGATATTTTTATACATTCATCTTCTTTCTTTTTTTTTATTTTAACATGAACAATTATTTCAATATTATTTTGGTATATAATAAAATTCTTCTTCTATTTTTAAGTTCTTTTTTTTTTACATGTTAAATGTGCTTATGTCAACTTTAAAATAAATAAGAAAATATATGTGATTATCATTATTACATCTAAGAATTATAAGACATAGTTTATTCGTATTCCTGTATTTGACCTACATATTGTACCATACTAAACAAAACGAGGACACTGAAGCAAATGACGTCACGAAGCACTCCGATGATATTAATTAATCACGTTAGTCTTCCATACTTTTGGTAGGTTTGCATCTACGATCAATGAAATATTTAGAATTGATTTAAACACGTGTAACTTTGAATTAAACAAATATATATTTTCATGTTTTCAACATTTTTGTGATACTTTGTATAAAAATAATGTTGATAAAATGACTTATGAAATATTATCGTTTAAGTTTATCTCAAAGTTGCACCTGTGTGAAAAATAATTCAAGATCTATTCATTCGAAATAATAATTATTGAAGCATATTGGCGAAATGAAATGACATCATTTTAAAATTGTTCTTGACTACTCTTTTCATACGCAAGATAGCGCCTTTTTTTTTTCTTTTTTTAGTTTACTAGATGAATTTGAATTTATTTAAACAATCGGCAAACAACGATGATAAAGCACATATTTATCTTTTGTATAAATCTGTTTGTTTTAAAAAGAAGCAGCTGCAAATCAAGGCTATTGATAAATTTGTAATTACAAGTTATGTATCTATGCATGTGTATATATATACTAAGTAAGGGAAGAGTATCTTCAATCGATTGGTTGTTAAGTCATTGGAACTGTCATCATCATGGCTCGTTTTACAATGTTCTATTTGGCTTTCTTCGTGGTCTGTCTCGCTGCTAGAGGTAAACAAGAAAATATAACCAAAAATACAATTTGTACAATTTGGTCGTGATTATTATTTATAATCGTGGGATTCGTGAAAATAATTGGACCGCTGGACCAACTGGACATCGGGACACGAACCACGAATTTTTCGCTTTTCGGGGCGACTGCTCTTTTAACCATTTGAGCTATCCAGGGCCCACCGATCAATCTTTCTCACGAATTGTATTTTTGTTTTTGTTTAAAAGCATTTGCCGAACCACCGGAGCGTATAGTAGGAGGTAGTCGTGCTGCCGTTGGTGAATTCCCCTATCAAGTTTCCATAAGAGTTGGTAATCAGCATACATGCGGTGGAACGATCATCTCTTCAAGACACATTTTAACTGCTGCACATTGTGTTAACGATTGGAATGCTCCAATCAGCTTTTATACCGTTGTAACTGGAACTAACAGTCTTAATTATGGTGGTGAAGTTCACGGTATCAGTTCTGTTTCTGTTCATCCCAGTTACATAGGTAGTCAGCAAACTTCTTGGATCAACGATGTAGCTGTTATTGCGGTAAATTTCAATTCAAGATTGGAATGAATGATTCAATACTATCTTTTTAACAATATAATTATTCTTTCAGTTAAGATCTCCTATAACGTTTAACAGTCTTCAAAAGGCTATTCCATTGCTGGATTCAGAAGTGCCAAATGGTAGTCTGCTCAGTTTGAGTGGATGGGGTAAAATCGCAACGAATGGTCCACTTTCCAATGCATTACTGAAGACCTATTTGTATGCTGAAGATTATAGAGTATGTCAACAACAACATACGATACCCATCTACCCAAGTCAAATTTGTGCACTTAATCGAGCAGGAATTGGCGCTTGCCAGGTGAATAGAATTCATTCGAATAATTTAACTCTATTGTCAATGTTTTGTTATTGTATTATCGATTATTATTAATGTATATTTCTTTTTTTATTCGCAGGGTGACAGTGGTGGTCCACTCACTTACAATGGTAGAATTGCTGGTATTGTTTCTTGGGTTATTCCTTGTGCTCGTGGAATACCTGACGTTTTCACCAAAGTCTCGGCTCATCTTAATTTCATTAGAAATGCTGTTCAATCTACATAGACGATTTAATCATCAGATGCTCTGTTCACTTTTACAAAATATATATCTAATAATGTTTAAATAATTTTCATTTCAAATGACTTTGATTATTTCAATCTTCGACTTAGTATAATGATAGGATAATAATTTTTTTCGAAATATTTGTAAATTTATTAACAAATTTAATCAAATAAAAAAATATTATACATAATTATAAATCAGTTTTTATTTTTATTAAGTATGATAAAATGTAATATTGATGTAAACCTTTATAATTACTAATTATAAAAATTAAATAAATTTATTAAATATTTAAATAAACACCCTTTCAGAGTAAACTTTCCAGTGCACAAAAAATTAATGAATTCTACGAAATTTTTTATCATACTTGCAAAAATTATAATGAAAAAAATATTAATCATATTCAACGACGATTTAATCGCTCATATTTATGATAGAAATATTTTGAAAAAAAAAAAAAGATTACTAACGCATAATACGAAATAGAAAGTTATGAGAGACATTTTTTAAAAAAATATCCAAGGATATCGAGAAAAAAAAACGGATTATGATTATTAATTAATTGATTATATTTATTACATATTTATTTATTAAAATATTTATTGCAAATGTAATCATAAGGTAAGGATTCTGTTTGTTCGTCAAAAATGAATGATTAAATTTGATCAAAGAGTTATTGCGTATTTAATAAAACTAAGATAACTGTAAACGCTGGTGAAGACATCAGGTATTCCACGAGCACAAGGAATTCCTCCAGAAACGATACCAATCACTTCATTAAAGAGGGATAATGGGCTGCCACTGTCACCCTAAAAATGAACAAATATTCGTATAATTCAATAATTATGATTAAACCATTGAAAGATTATTTTTAGATTTATCAACACTTACGGAACACGTTCCAACATTCTTTTGTACGAGAGTACAGATCTGAGATGATTTGATATCTATGGAACTGAAATAACTTTGGCATTCATCTTGAGACAATGTTTTGAGATTAAGTTTTCTGAGCAAAGGAGAAGCTCTTCTTGGGTAGCTAGAGGTTGCACCCCAAGCACCGATTATGGCATTAGTGTGGACTGGTGGTTTTTGGGTTGGCAGAGCAATAGGTTTTACACGATCGTTGAATTCGATTGGGCTGGCAAGCTGTAAAAAAAACAAATAATTTTTAGAAGATTTAACAAATATTGTTGTTCTTCAATCTTATTTGTAAGTAGAAAATTTGCAAGTTAATTTACCTTGATGATACCGATGTCGTTTATCCAAGGATTCTTCGGGTTAAAGTCATGGTGACGAATATAAAGACTAGGTTCGTAGACTTGACCACCGGAGTAAAGATTGTTCGTTCCAGCAACAATGGTTACCTCACCTGGTTCTGCGTCTAACAAAGGTACCACACAGTGAGCTGCAGTAAGGATGTGATATGGACCAATGATACAACCACCGCAATGAAGGTTATTGTCTATCCTTATGGATACCAAGTATGGAAATTCGTTATCTCGAGCAAGCGAAGCGCCGACCAAAGCTTCAGGTGGTTCACAGTATACTGATCAAAATATTCAAATATGTTTCAATGAAATATAAAAGAAGAAGATCAAATATTTATATTTTTTAAATGAAATCGACAACTTACCGGTGCTAACGATACTTGCAAAAAGGCAAGCAATGATTGCCTTTATTATATTTTTACGTGCCATTTAAATTTTCGATGGGTCTTTACAAAATCAAAATTCACAAAGTATACCGAATCGATGTTTCGTGCAATTTATATCAAAATACAATGTTTACTTAAGATTTTTATAAGCACTTGTGAATACTTTAACAAAAAAAAAAAAAAAGAATTGGTAGATTGTAAAATGTAGATTGAAACATAATTTCAATGATGTTTTTTTTTTTCGATAATCAATATTTGAGTAACGAATGAATTAATTAATTCATTCATTCGACATGATTGCGTTTTATATCTAATTTTAATCATCGAATTTATAAACGAATGAGTTGTTTCGCGAAAATGATCATAGGCATTTAAACAATGAAAATATTTATTCAATTGTACGTATCTTCTTATCTTCGATTAAGTATCACGTCATATATGCATTTTAGTTGCACAATGCATTGGTACATTCATTATTATTATTGTTATTATTATTATTATTATTACTATCATTATGATTATCTGCTTAGCATATCAATTTCAAGAACCCATTCGAAATGTCGAAATCATCTTTTATAGCTCGAGTGCTGATGTTGGTTCGAAAGGATAGGTCGGTTAATGAGAATCTCAAGAAGAAGAAGAAGAAGAAGAAGACGAAGAAGAAGAAGAAGAAGAAGAAAAAGGATAAGAAAAAGAAAGAACGATGACCTAATCGACCCCCCACGAAATCTTTTGCAATAAACGCGTATGTTTTCGCACGCATGCAAATTCTTGCGGTTAAATTCGTACCTTTTGGAATTTTTGATAGTCATTTTTATGAATTACAAATACAATTATATAATTACACTACAAGGTAAACGTTAAAATTATTTCTTTCTTTTTTTTTCCTCACTAATTGGTATATTTAATACATCGAGATCGAATGAAAAAAAAAAAAAAAAGAACAAATTCCGAAGACAACAAGAACACATTTGAAAGTAGTTTTTTTTTACGTAATACTCGTACAACAAGTAAGTACATTAACATTTAATGTGATCGTGCATTTGATCGACAATCGATTTACAAATACATATACACAGATATATAATATATATCGTATATATATAATACTTCTTTACTAGATCCTTTGGTGTTACGTAAATCAAGTCTTGTGATAAATGAAATCAACGAATTCGTTCTCTTAGCATGTTGTTTAAATAAACGTAGATGAATACTCATGAAGGATTCTCTCTTTCTCTCTCTCTCTTTCTTTCTAACTGTCAGGTTCTTAAATGTCACGTGAAATTTAGATCTCGAAATTGTTTATCGAAGATTAAAATCAGAGATAGTAAAAGAGCGTTGTTAAGAGTAGCACTTTGCAGAAAGAGAGAAGTGAAAATTTACTGACGAAAAATACACGATCGAAGATTCTTCGATCAGTCAGAGAAGATATCAGTCTGTAAACGTATTATACAGCGAATATTCATTATTCATCGGTGCGAGTACGTTCATAGGATCGACTGTTTCTCTTTTCTCGTTCACTCCTATAACTTGCGGTATATACCTCTCGCGCGATATAAGGCAATTAAATCCATGGAATGTGCACACACCATATGGTCTATCAATGGTGCAGCTACCCCACTCGAATCACCATAACCATTATTATTATCGTGGACAAGAAGTAGCCGGTAGGTATTGCTACTGGGCCGAGACTTCATCATCAACTCTTTACAATTCTCTTCTTATTCATGGAAAACAGATTGATATTTTGGTCATCGTTACTCATAATTTCAAGTATGGATTATTACTCGTAAATGATTTTGTAAGAATTACGATTTTCATCGATGAGATTGATATATATATGTATATATTTATAACTACTTCTCGAAGTTGTTCGAAATATTAATTACACTTTCATTTAGATGCAAGATACGAAAGGTAGGTAGGTAGGTAGGTAGGTACCTATGTTTCTCGTTCGATCATTGACGTCCTTCTTTGGAAGCTGACTACTTTAAGAAGAATTATTATTTACTAGATTTTCTTCAAACGTCTTTCATACAGGCTGTTTCTAAAATGAAACCATTATCTTTGAGTTATTTTATTATCATTGATCATAGATTGATTATTACAATTAATAAGGTATAAGTAATATGTGTGTGAATAAGATCATTTTTGTTTAGAAAAATGAATCTTTTAATTAGTTAGTTTAATGAGTTAATAATCTTTAGGAACATACTATACAAATTACGTGTCCAGAAAAGGTACTCGTATATATGTATAAATGTATATATGTATGTATGTATGTATGTTCGCCGCCGGTTAAAATAGAAAGGATCGACGGTATGATTGCTTCCTTTTACGTGATTCGAAACTAATTCCCTGCGTAATGACGTTAAAGTCTTACAGAAGGAAGGGAAGAATATTTCCCGTTCCATTGCGAAACGTTTTATAGATGAACGAACTATCGAAGAAATTAATTGTACCTTTAACATTTGGTTATAGGGAGAAAAATCTCTCTTGTCTGTTTTTGTTATTTTATTCGACGTGTTTTTAATGATACCTACGAAAGAAAGAAAAAAATTGTTACGATTAAACGTTATCAATTGAGATGTCTTTACACCTGATCATATATAAAATATCGCGTAGAATCATTGACGATGTTATTGAATATTAATTATTTCGTACGCAATGAAAGACGCGTGTAATTTAGAATTTCGTAATGTTTAGTAGATAATAAACGATATTAACATCAGCTGTGTAAACTTAACGATGTACGTCGATTATGCATGTGTGGTTTTTGAAAATGTCTCATTTAGTTTTTAAAAAGACATCGATTGAACATTACACATGGAAATTTGAGTACCATGAGATTCCTTAATACAATCTTTGTAAGTTAACAAGTCTCTAGTTAGTTAATATAATATTATATTTCTTATATAATTATAAGATTTCAAGATTTTCTTCTTAATCATCGTATAATCATAATGATTCCAAAAACTTAGTCCTTCCAACTAGGCTTTCTAAATAGAAATAGGAGAGTCTCTTGATACATCAAACGATACAATATTCTTAGAACGACATAGGCCGTCGTTACGATACAATCGTACATCTCGGAGTACATCTGAAAGAGCTAGAAAGAAAGAAAGAAAGAAAGAAAGAAAGAAAGAAAGAAAGAGAAGAATCCTTCCACCCTTTTATGATTCATCGAAGGTGCCACAGCTAGTCGGTTCTTTTCGTAGAAGAGAAGACACGGTAACGAAGCTCGAGTCCGTGGTACGAGTCGAGCGAGTGGGTAGGGTTAAGAGGGCGCATTTACGTTCGTTTAAGAATTTTTTTTTCATCGAACGGAACATTGAAATCTTTCGAAGAGGCGGTGCTCGATGGGAGCTCGATCAGAAGAGTACCATGTTCTTCGTGTGTGTATGTACCTATGCATGTGTTGGAGGTCTTTGATCGACTGGAAGCTTCGATGGTAACAAAGAAAGGAAACGGAATGAGAGAAATAAAGAAAGAGAAAAAGACAAAGAAAGAAAGAAAGAAAGGGGGGGAGAGAGAGAAAGAGAGTCAGCGGCCGGAAAGTGAAAGAGCCACTTCTTCATGGTCACCATGTAGCAGCAATGCCATATCTCGGCAGTTTTATCACCGGCGTCATTCTCATTCGCGCGTGCATCGTGCCGCGTTAACGGCTGTATAATCGAGCTTTAACCTGTCTCCCTAATGAGCGCGAGCCTCGTTGTGCTGCGGAAACCGTCACGAAAGTGTCAAACCATACGTCGTCTCCTTTTTTTTTTTTTTTTATTCTTTCTTTCACAGAGAAAATGTGTAGGTACCTAGATGTGCGTGTGTGCTTCCCTAGTAATACGAAAAAAGAAAGAGATGGATTCAATGGGAGCCATTATTCCTAGTCTACTCTTTTGAGTTCTTCGTACCTTTCTTACTTTCATCCTCTCTTCTCTCTCGTCAATGGATCTTTACTTATAACTATATATAATGTGTGAGTGTGTGTGTGTGTGTGTATGTATGTATGTAAGTACTGCATATTCGCAGCATTAAAACGTTTACGTCATTGTTTGCACGCCCGTTAATTTGTTCGAGGACTTCACGGACGATTCAAGCCGTCTCGTCGTCTATTATCCAAAGGAGCTCGCGAAACACTACCTGTCTGGTAGTCTCCAACATTTAAATACGTTATTCTTGCGTTACCAATTTTATTTTATACAGATATTGACGATAAGAGCGAGGGATATTAAAAGGTACGAGAACTTACGAAAGCATAAACTTCATATAGGTACCTTGTGAGAATAGTGTTGCTAGGATGTATTATCTTTAACATACATGATATTTGATATATATAGGATGTCTTATAAATTGTGCGAAAGTGGTGCTTCTGTATGACTAACATAAGCAAATGCAAATGTTCTCGTATGTATACTTATTTATGTTAATGTTGTTTTCAGTCATCAAAGTAACAAATACTACAGCCCTTTAAATATGCACCTATGAGATAAAATGGTATACCATGCTTTATTTGTCATTATTTTGTTAACATAGAATTATCATTTTCCCATAGAAAGGAGGATCATAAGTGAGAGTATCACCAGGACACCCTGTATAGCATACCGAAGATTTATGTATGCACTTTACTTCTCCGGCATTTAGATAGGAGGGAAGGGAGGGAAGGGAGGGAGGGAGGGAGGGAGGGAAGGCGCTTCCTTTGGAACGGAAAAAAGGAGGATTAACGAAAGGTACGGTCGGGAAAGCGAAACGTTCGTCTTAAGTCGATTTGTACGTATGGCGTTCATTACGAGAAGAGCGCGAGTGTAATGACTCTCGGCATGATTTCTCGCGGCTGCATCTATTTCATTTCTCTCGGCACCGAACGCGAATACTATGCTGTTGCTCCTGCTGTTGCCGACGAAGAGAGACAGAGGAAGAACACACTAACATAAGAAGAAGAAAAAGAAGAAAAAGAAGAAGAACAAGTAGAAGATGAAGAAGAAAAAGATGAAATAGAAGAAGATGAGGAGGAGGAGGAGAATGAGGAAAGGGTGGAGGAGGAGGAAG